CCCCCCCCCCCCCCCCCCAGTGCACAAATTTTTATGCACCGGGCCTCTAGTATATATATATATATATATGACATATCCAAGGGACCTTAGTTCAATCACAGCCGTGGATTAGGAATAAATAGCTTGTGTGTTGGACGCCATGTGACGCTGTGAGGAGGTTAGGGTGCCCTTGGTGCACTCTCACAAACCTGAGTAGTGGTTCTGGGTCTGGAAAGAATGGCAGTCCCTGCATGGAAATGTGAGCACTGTCACTTGTCAACTGGGCACAGTTATTCCCTTTGGTTCCTGGGAGTCTACCTTTTTCAATTTGGGGAGATAACTAGTATATTGGTATATTATTGAAGTTTTTGTTGTTGAAATAATTTTTCATTTCTAATATTTCCTGCCAATAATTCCAAGTGGGTAAATCTCACATCTCCCCGGTGTGTCCTTGGCTGACACAGACTTACTCTGCATGCAGAGCCCATCAGTGCAGTTCTTGGATTGCAAGACCAGACCATCGCAGTCCTTGCCTCCGTTCTTGGGGGCGGGCGCCGTGCACTCCCTCCTGCGCCAGTGCGTGCACTCCGTCCCACAAGTAGACCACTTGCTCCAGGAGGTCCACCTGCCATCCACTGCCACAGAGAAAACCCAGCGTCAGGTCAAAGGGACAGGAGCTTTGAGGGCAGAGGGGAGCTGAGCCCAAGAGTACAGCAAACAAACAAGCTGAAGAAAATGCCCCCGTAGAGTACTGGATCTCTCTCAGCTGCGGAAGTGGACCATGCTCTGCGCACACCTGCTGGGCTCTGTGAGCTCTCAGTGAGCTGTGTGACTGCTTCCTCAGGGACACGCAAGGGAGGCTTAAAGGGACACACAGGACCAGAATTGTCACCAAAGCTGTATAAAAGTAAGTCATGGTGGTGCCCCTTTCTCTATCAAATGGTAAACTTCTGGATTTTGTGTTGAAAGTTAGGGGGCTTCTTTTTGGACCCCAAATTCCTTTATGCATAGTGTCATATGAGGGGTAGAGTTAACTTATGTGGGAGAAATGGTTGTTTGAGTGGGGAAGAAATCTACCTGTGTACCCACACTTCCATCCATTCATCTATCCATCCATGCATCATGCATCAATATCTATCTATCTATCTATCTATCTATCTATCTATCTATCTATCTATCAATCATCTATTGATGTCCTATATGCCTTTTTTATTTTTTCATCTGGGCTAATTGATTCTCTTGAGATCTTCAATGCTTTCTTAAAAAGACAATTTTCCATTTATTATTTGATGATTCCAGTCCATTATTTTATGATGTATACATTTCTATTTTTATTAAAATATATGTAGTCATTTTTAATTTTCTGCCATGATTTCATAATTTAGAATTGACTCACTTTCTTCCTATTTTTGATGGCTGCCTTGGCAGTAATTTCAATGATAATGAACTGAGATATCTCTATTTTAAAAACAATTTCCATTCCTAAGTTTAAAAATATGTAGTAAATTTATTGAACATCTAATATACATAGCATCTTATTCCTGCATATTGATAGAAATTATATCAATTTTAATAGTTTATGATATGATTTTACATTCAAATTGTGTAAATATATTATGCATATGTATAGAGATATAAACATGCCCACATGAAAAAATGATGAAAGCATTAATACTTTAATGGTACAGAGCTGCCTATATAAACAGCTCCCAGCTATCTGAAGAAAAGGCATTTGCTTTGACCTAGAGCCTTAGATCCTAGACCATTCCAAATTACACACTCACACATTTCTATTTCACTCAAAAAGCTCAGTGCATTTTTTTTAACTGTGGGAGTCAACATGTAGGTAAAATATTTAAGAGTACAAGATAGAATCCTGAAATTGTAAACCTAGCTGGGTGTCAAAATTTGTTCCATAAATAAAAGCTCTCAAAGGGTAGGTTACTATTTTGATATTTGGAAATCAACACAGGAACATAAAATATAGGTTATGTTTTTATTTCAGTTCACTTCTTCAGCCCATCTCTCAGAAAGTTTGTACTAAAGGATAAACCAAACAAAAACCAGGCAAAATAAAGGGAAGTAAAAAAGACTGTGTATCGAAACAATGAAATTGACAATATAATAGCTACCTCGATGGAGTGCACTAAATTTATGGATTATTTCAAAATAACTCTAGCTAAACTTTTCAACTTATTGATTAGAGCTTAGGGAGTTTTGGTTTTAGTGGGTGTTAACTTCAGTTACCTGGGGATAAGAGCAGGTGACAATATAAAATAGCACAGAGAGATGCTCAGAGGCACCGGATGCAATCTGGGCATAGGTACTACTGCACATAACTCACAAAACAGGTGGCCAACCTGTACAGATAATAAAGTGCTGACTGCGTTGTATTTTCAAAATCCATTAGCTCATGTGTCATAAAGCTTAGACTTCCTTTTCATTCAGTCCAAATGTTTTATTTGCTCTTGCCCAGAAACTGACACCAAATATCAAATATTTCCGTCTAAACATTATCTGGGTTTTAGTTCCAATTAGTTCCCATGGCTTTCTGGAGATCAAGGGTTTTTTTTTTTCTTTCTTTCTAAAATGTGTGGCTTTCAGTGGTGCTCAAATCTCTTGAATTACAGAACCTGCAATCTTGGCTCCAGCAGTTTTGTTTAGTAATAGAGAGGGATTCTGTTGACGCGTGTTTAATCTCCTGTTTTATATGATTTTTCATGGCTCGGTAATAAAGTTAAGTACTCTTTTGGGGGAAAATATTTGATTTCCCAGCAATGTAAGCATCGAATGGGGTGATGCATTTAAATAATGTTTATCGCACATGCAGGTCAAGGAGAAGGCTTTGTGTAGACGCCTTAAATGCATCTCCGGAATGGGAGGAGACGGTTGGAACGAGAGCGCTAGTTTATTTACCTGGGCACAACGTGGTACAGGCTATTTTCTGCACGCTCTGCCCTTCACAGAAGGCACCACCGTTGAGGGGTGCTGGGTTGGTGCAGGTCCTCGTGCGCTTCTGAAACCCCCGTCCACAGCGGCTATTACACACAGACCACTCTGTCCAGGTGGACCAGCCACCGTTTACTGGGAGGAGGTAAATAATAACATGTGGGTTACATGTTTGTGCATGCACACACAGACGCACAAACCACACACAACACATCGACACAAACTTATTCCCCAAGGGATTATAAAAAAAATCTAAAATCCAAAGCTAGAAGAGACCATGGACTTCATATCATTCAAAGTGTTATCACAGAGCCGAAGAATCTAAGCACAGAGATTACAAAACAAAAAAAAAATGAATTACCAATGTTTACTCACCTACCCAGAAAAGCATATAGGATTGTGTTCTCTTTTCCTTGGCCATTGTTCTTTTTAAAACAAAATACATCCCCTTACCTAGTCAAGCTCCAAAAATTACTTTTGACAGCTTATCTCAAATAATAAATGTTCACATCCTTATGCCAAGGCTGTAAGTGGATCTGAAACATGGGAGCTGAATAAGATCATTCCGTCTTGTCTTAATACCAAATGATTGATTACTTTTCTTTAGCATATATAAACTGTGCCACCTTTTAAGGATTTTTCGTCAGTTTTATTAAGTAACCACTGAACCTAGTCAAAAAAATAAAATAAAATCTTATATTGCTGGGTTTTTTACTAATTGAGTAGCCATTTGACAGAATTGGCAATTAGTTGATGTAATTGAAATGAACACCTATTTTGTATATGAGAGCTAATTATGGTGTTTGATGGGGATGTCACCATAGATGAGATTGTGAAGCCTACGCTCTTACACTCTGCCCATTATTTACCTCAGAGATCTTACTCTGGAAAACACTCCTCACTATGAATGCCTTGATGGAGCATGTAAAGCAAGTTCCAGGAAGTTCAAGTTGCTCTGATGTGTAGGGGGACATGTCAGCGCCAGTTTACCTGGGGTTTTGCAATCACTGGACTGAGCCAAGGTTCACAGAAGAGGCAACAGACTGCTTTAAGCATCTTCTCTCCAAATTCGCTCTGTATCCCGGTGGCCCAGGGCAGGGAGAGAGGAGGGCTCAGGAAAGCAGCTGGCACGTAGGCAGATTTCCTTCATTTTCTTATAAACTGACTGACAAAGGACTAGGAATTTCCAAGACCAGTCTTCCCATGAGCACCAGGGAAGCAGTGAAACCTCACTGTCCACGTGAGCAGCAGGAAGAGACCAGCCATGAGGATTGCCAAGGGGCCGCTCATCTGATGTTTTAAAATCAAAATGACACCTGCACTTGGACATGAACTAGATTGAGACCCCAAAAGCTCACTCACCGTAGACGATGACAGTCGCCGTTGTGCTTTTCCTCTTGGCAACAATGTTTTTGGCGACACATGTATAGTTCGCGGTATCTGAGAGGCGGGCCTGCTTGATGATGAGGTTGTGATCAATAGTAATATAAAAATTCCGATCTTCAACTGGGTCAATTATGTCTTCATTTTTCAACCATTCCACCTAAAGAGGCACAAGAGAAATAGATAATTTCCCCGTATGTATCCCCGGACGGCTGCCTGTCCTAACTTAGGTTTTGCAACCTGTATAATATTGCTCCGAGCTCTGAACTTCTGCAAACGGGGAGGAAGTAACTTTGGGAGGTCATGTGAAGTACCGCTCACCTGCCAGGCATGTTGATTCTGTCTGTGCTGCGGTATTCTCAAATGTCAATGAACCCACGGGGAAATGCAGTGTTCAAATTGTTTTCACATTGCCCTGCAGGCAGGAACAGGGAAGGTGCCTCTGCCAAGTTCCGAACCCAATCAAAGGTAATAGGCTACGCGTTTCCAACTGAACTCACACCTTTTGCTATTTGATTTGTTTACTTGCGGCCACCGACCTGCAGCTTTTCGGGGGGAGAGTGTAAGAATGACGTGGAAAGCTCGAGAGCAGCTTCCACATGTCGCTCTAATAAAAGAACATTTGGATGATTTCTGCGTAGCCCTTGCTGAAACATATGGACTAGATTTCCCTGAAAATGCATTCACTTTAAAATGCTGTAAACACATACTTGGAGATGCATCTGAGCCAAAATAGTTGGGGGGGAAAAAGATTTTCTACCAACTCTCAATATAATTCAAATAGCAGGGAAGTCATTCCCAAATCTCTCCCTTTGTGTATCACTAGCAGCAAATCTTTGGCTTAAGGTTTGCTTCTGGGGAGACCTGATGGCAGACACGACTGTCCAAAACTAGCAAACTGATCATTTTCTATGCAATTAATACCAACTGAGCAACAGGGATGCTATCCCTGCAGAATGAAAAGAGGGAGATGCATGTGTATAAGCGGCCCTATGAGGGAGAATCCATTTCTTGTCCTGTAAATCGCTTCTTTTTCCTACCCCCCTCCCTCATGCACAGGTTTTTCCATAAAGGAAAACAACATCGATATTTACCACATTTCAACTTTCCTTTAGCATTAGTGGGCATGTGAATGCAGGTAACCTTCAGGGGTAGGGAGTCAACAGTGTTGCCATTTTCAAAATCTTAAGCAGCTTCTCTAGCACCACAGGCGGTCTGGAAATTAATCTTTCAGTCTGTCAGTGGGCTTGACAATGCAAAGCTCTAAATTAAATCTAACCCCGGGACTCTAAGATAATGCTCCTCTAATCCATAGAAGAGAGGCCACAATTTAAGGAGAAAAACAAAAACCAACAACAATCCTGAAAAAAAAAGTGAGAAAGTAGATAAGAGCAACTATTTGTAATAATGTACATTTTGAAATAGGTAACCGTTCTTGGTATTGACAGTAATGGATGTGAGAATGAGAACAGAACCCATTAAAACAGTGGAGCTTTAAAACATGCCTTTTGTCCTCACATACAGACTGCACGCTCAGTCAGGGCCATCCTTGGAGATGCGTGTTTGATCAGATGCTCATACTCACTTGACCTGGATGTCCTCACCTTTGGCCTGTGTGTGTGGTAATGTGATCCTGCTAGAAGTGCAAGGGGAAGGTAGCAAAAGTCACAGTGTCAGAAATCGACTTGACAGCCATTGAAAGCTGACATGGACATCTTAATCTAATCATTACCTAGCTTATCTATGAATTTTAAAGAAAGCTTTCCACTTAGAGAAGCCACGGTGGGGTTCCCGGAGCTGGTCTTGGATCCGGGTCTTGGGTCCCTTCTACTTATGTGTGTGTCTGTGTCTGTCTGTACTCTGTGTGCTTTTCTGTCAAGGACCTATACCTGCGACTGTGTTCTAAAGAGCAGCCTTCAGGCTCCTGGGCTCTTTGCCTGGAAGTGCCTAGGGGTTCCCCGCTCCCCCATCCTTCCCTCGCCAATTTCCCCCTCCACAATGTCTTACAGAGTGTGGAAAAGGCCTTAGGAAATTGGCTAATCCCAGTTGGAATCTGAGCCGTTACTCTCCAGAGTTCTCCTTGCAGGGTTACGCTGAAACTATCTCCTTGAGCCTTCACCTGAATGCACCTTTTTTTTCTGGTATTCTCCTTTTCTCTCCTGCTTGCTCCACCTCTGTGGCTCTCCTGGAAGTGCACCCATAAAAACCACTTGCATTCAGCCCTAGCTGGCTTGGCTCAGTGGATAGAGCGACAGCCTGTGGACTGAAGGGTCCCAGGTTTGATTCCAGCCAAGGGCACATGCCTGGGTTGGGGCTCGATTGGTCCCAGGTTCGATTCCAGCCAAGGGCACATGCTGGGTTGCGGCTAGATTCCCATTGGGGGGTGTGCAGGAGGCAGACAATCAATGATAATCTCTCATCATTGATGTTTCTATCTCTCTCTCCTTCTCTCTTCCTCTCTGAAATCAATAAAGAAATATTTTTTAAAAACTTAAAAATTAAAACAAACAAACAAAACCCACTTTCTTTCAAACCCTTGCCTCATGATTTGCTTCTGGAGAACCTGCCCTAAGTCTCGACTATTCAAAACCATGGTTTCTTCTATGCATGTAATATCCGTTAACAACAGTACCATTATCCTGGTCAGAAATGACATCAAGAATCCCAAGGGATATTGCGAACCACTTTGTATTTGAAGAGTTTATTACATGGAGGAAAGAGTGCAATTGGAATAGTTGACAAGAGATTTAAAAAGACGTACATGATTATTGGGTATATGGCCTTTACTTGCTTATACAGTACATGGCTGCCTTTCCTTTCTTACCAACCTTGGAGAGGGGATTATGGCCTGATCCCGGAGGACCCCTGAGGAGCCCCAGTATTGCTGGGGGGCACTGCCCTCCTCCCTGAACTCTGACTTTAACCAGAGAAGCTCCTCTTTGATCTGTTGTCCACACATTTGTATGCCTTTGTCTGAAGAAACCAAGGGTTGTACTGCTAGAAAATACCTGTAGAAATGAAGAGGGGAGCCCAGGACTTCTCCAGCTCTAATAAGACCCTCCCCCTCTGTTCTGCACATCGCAATACTCCCCGTCATGCCACATGTCCTCTTTGAGGCCACCATCTGCATGAGGAGCTCAGGACCAGTCTACAGGTCATCGCTCCCTCCTGTACTAAAGCCTCATCCTGTCTACACATCCCCATCATCCCTCCTCCCAAACCCTCAAAGCCTTTCCATCCGGCCTTGGAGTAGTAAAAGCCTCCCAAATTTCCATTTCTTTTCAGATGGTTTTCTTCACTTTCCTCTCACTGAAAACCACACTCTCCATGATGCTACTGTTCTTCTGGACTCAACTCAAATGTGGGACGTTCCCCAAATCAACACACCACTGAGCCCAGGGCTCCAGTGAGTGTCCTCCTGCTTCTGCATTGTCTCTTCCCGACCGTTCCGGCCAAACACCTTTGCTCTACATCTCATGCCATCAGATTATGTCACCCAATTCCCATATTTTTGTAGTCATCTACGTACCTCTGGGTTCACAGTAATTTTATCCAGCACAACTTCTGTCATAATTTCTGATGATTTTAATAACCAAAAGATGACATTTCCAACATCTTGGCCCCTCAGTTCCATAACCCTCCCTCCTGTGATGACCTTGACGGCTAAGTCAACTACACTCACAGTCACATATTCCAGGACAGAGGTGGTCAACCCTGACTTCACTGCAGAATAATGTGGAGGGCATGCAGAACACATCAATTCTAAATCCAACCCAGAGAGACTCTGATTCACTGAACAAGAGTATTTTTCAAACTCCCCAGGGGGCTGTGGTTTGCTGCGAGGATTGAGGAATACCACACTGGACCATTGCCTTTCAAGTGAGATCGTGAACCAACAGTATCTATGTTACCTGGAAATTTGATAGAAATTCAGAATTCCAGGCTCTGTCCCCTAGACTTACTGAATCAAAATGCAAATCATAATATCACAAGGGGATTTATATGCACATTAAAGTGTGAGCAGAAGTGGCCTAGCTCTTGTCTTTACCACTAATTGCAAACCTTCCTAAACTCAGTTCCAATATCCTCTCATCACCATTTTCTGTCTTTCCTGCTTCTTCTCTCTAGGACTCCTATTTTAACAAACCTGCACCAGGACCCACAAGCTATTGAACTTACCAACTTTATCTCTCACCCTCTCATGGTCCCTATTCCTTTTTGTCAAGTGTAAATTTCTGACTTTTTCTACAATCCCTTGAATTATACCCTCAAGTCTCTCATTCCTTTTTCACTTGCTCACTCTTCCCTACACCACTGTTTATCCTGGCAGTGGAAAACGGCTGTGGGCGTATCTTAAAGTCATGATAACAGAACTAAAGTGGGCCCTTAATTCTGCCAAAAATAATCACACTCTATTTCCATTTTCTGTTCACCGTCCTGCACTCCTAGACAGCTATTTCACACCTTCTCCTCTCACCTTAAACACTGCTTCCCCCTCGATCATCACTTCCAGCTGATGACCAAGTTTCCACACTGCTGAGAACACTGACAATCACATCTTCCGAAGCTCCCGCCATCTGCCTGCCCATCTCGATTCTGCACCATCTGTCTCGTTCCTGGGTCAGTTCTCTGTGCTCCCGTCACCTCGCATGTGTACTCTGCATCCCACTGCCTTCTCTTGTTCAAGGGGGAGCCCAGCAATCCTCTTCTCTCTCTTTCTTAAATCACTCATTTCCCCTCTCCACTGAATCATTTCCATTAGCATTCAGATGTGCAGTTATTTTCACAAAGTAAAACAGAGTCGCTCCCACTCATTTCTGCCTCTATTGCCCCCGCATTTTTCTGCTCACCTCACAAAATGCCTTGGAAGAGTTGTTTGTATTCACTCTCTCCAATTCCTTTCCTCTTCACTGCTACTGCGCCTACTCTAATCCGCCTCCACCATTTCACAGAGCTGCTCTTTTCAAAGGCATCAATTACTTTCACTGCGTTAGACGTGCTGGTGAGGGCTCCCTGCTCTTCTGACTTGGCTCAGCAGCAGTGTTTGACCTGGTTGGTCCGTCTCCTCACTTGCTTTCTCTGGACACGGCACTTTCCCGGTGTTTGTCCTACCTCATCCCAATCCCCATGGCTTTCTTGGGCTGAGGACTGTCCCCTGAG